ACGGAGGAGAAGTGTTGCCGTTCAGGTCCCGGCTCACTCGCTCCGCCTAGTGCTGAGCTCCGGGTACTTGAAGGGACGGGAGTTGAGTCAGCGGGTCTGGGTCGTTCCGGTAATACGGCTCTAAGAGGACAAATGTTACAGTGTGTTTATTTGGGGTGGGCGAGGGGAGGAGGTGTGTCGTTCCCTCGCCTGGATGTTTGTCCTGCGGTGGCATTTTTAGTGGTGGAAATTTCGTGAGGGAGGATCGGCGTTGCTTGAAGGAGACGGCAGCATAGAGGCACAGTGGCTCTGGAGACTTGACGCGTTAATGAAGGCAAGCTTTGAGCCATCGGAGGAATTGTAGATATTGGGGTTTTTTGCCTGACCTGTGCTAACGAGCACCTATATGATCTGACTACAGAAACAGATGCAGCAGGACGTCTTTAAATTCTCTGTGTGCCCTTTGGGGAGTGTGTGCGTGCCTCCTTCAGCTCTGTGAAGGTTAGCTCCTGTGCTGGTGGCTGGCAGGTCAGCTGCAGCTGAGAGAAGATCCTTGTCTGCACAAAAGTATTTGTTTTAAATATTATTGCCCCTATCACTAGACTTGGACACAGAAAATCTGTGCCTAAAACGGAGATCTGAGAGGCTGAGGTCGTGATTTCCCCAAAAGGATGCTAATTATGAAGCTTATGCTGCAGATCCATAAATCTGTTCTATCCTACTGAAAGTAATAATCCTGAGTTTTTCCTTTTTAGGTAACCAGTCAATAAGTCTTTTACATAGTTTGTTGAAAGATTGACTGAATTTAAAACCAGTGGGTTTTGGTGAACTTTGTCTGTTATTGTTTTTTCGGGGTTTTTTGTGTTTGGGGTTTTTTTTTTTAAGACTGTCTCTTCCACTTCCATCTTACTTTTAAAAGAAAATATTTCTACTCCAGTGTGCATATAGCAGAAAAAATTCACTGTTTTCAAAACACTCTTTTATCTTTTATTTCAGGGTCTTCGCCAAATTTCCCAGAGGACCATAAGCACTGCTTCACGCAGGCAGTTTGAAAATAGAGTTCATGAGAAGCAGAAGCTTTTCCAGGTATTGAGTGAGCATTGATAGTAGAATAATGTTAGCAGAACAACAAGGTTTTAGTAGATCGTAATTGCATATGTTTTGTTTCTAAAGAACTGGTGAAACTCCTCTTTACATCTGAGGTGACCTCTTGAAATCAGTTGTATGACTACAGTGTTTGAAATCAGCAGTTATTTTCTACAGAGATTAAGAATATTTGTACATGCATGCTTGACTTGCTGACTTTTTAGGGTTTTTTACCCTGTGAAATGATTTGTACCTGACTTTCTTATGAGGTCTAGGTACTGTATAAAGATAAAACCAAAGTACTCTGAAATGGGATGAGATGGGAGGGGGTATGTCCTAAGAAAAAAGAAAGAAAAAACAACAAGTGAGAGTGCAGAAGTACAGTGAAAAGTTAAACTTGCAATCTTAGAGATATATCCATAGCTCAAGGTTGAATCCCATAGCTCTTAATGAGGATGTGGTTTTATTGTACTTCTCAGTTATGAAAACAGTAAAGGTCATAAGGGATTGGGTTTACTCCTAGAAAATTACTAAATCTTTAAAAATAAATTCTGAATTGATCTCTTCCTGACTATCTAGGGGCCACCTAGTGAGAACTAGTGGTTCTTCAAATGCCAAAGCAGTGAATACTCAAGAGCATATTCCCAACTGTGAGCCATAACCTGGAGCAGTAGCTTCATACTGATGATAGAGTAGACTGGGATTCAGTGATGTGAAAGGGAAAAAGTACATTAGAAGCCCCAGTTTAATAGTTTTTGTGTCTTGCAGCTTTACTTTTCCCTGAAAGATAAAGTCAGTCTTGTTGGGACGCTGCTGAAGGAGTGCAGTGTTCATTGCACGCTCAGGGGAAGTGGGATGTTGGCAGTGGGTGAGGTCAGAGGTTCTGTTTCTGCTGGTGTAGAGCTCTAGGCGTATCTCTTCCTCCTCCTGTTCTTTTCTTGGGCGGTAGCAAGTTAAGCTGGGCTGGGTTGTGGGTCACCAGTACTGGAGGCCGACTTGAATTCCAGAGCAGCGTGAACTTGGTCACAAGGGTAAAGATCATGTGGATCTGGTGTCTTAGGAGTTTTATTTTGGGTGGAGCAAAACAATTTCCTGTGTGACATCAGGTGACAGTAGAGGCTCCTCCCCTTGCGGCTCCCTGTAGCAGGGAGTGACTATGCTGGAGACTGTTGGAAGTTTCTAGGGATGGTCATTGTATCCTGTGCACCCCAGGGGGCTGGCTACTTCTGTCAGACGTGTTTAGGCATCTGCCAGTCACTGCTTTAGAAATTAATGTGCACATCATTTACTATACTTCCCTAGTGAGTGATCACCTGATACCAGAGCGAAAGCTTGAAAGACAAAGTGGAATCTAAATAAGGTTCACTGTCTTTATGTGAGTTGGGAAGATAATTTGGGGGAGTAATTCTTCTTCTAGGTAATTCTAGTTATGTTATCACAATATTGCAAGAACTCTATTTAAATATAGTTTCTTTTCGTCAATTGTTTCCATTAGGAGGATAATGGCATCCCGGTGCATCTTAAAGGTGGTGTGATGGATGCTCTCTTGTATAGAGTCACTATGGGTCTTACAGTTGTTGGTAAGGCTAATACTAAAATGTTTATGCTTTGATACCATTTCCAACGTGCTAACATGAAAATACTTTTTCTTTGGTACAATCCCTAACATGACTGTCATTAACTCTGTAAATTAGTTAGGCAGTCCCTTTTAGTCTGTTCTAAAGAACATGCAAAATGCATGTAGAGAGGCGGGAAAAAATGGACATACTATGTATTTATTTGTGCTTTCTCAAGTTTAGCTTTTCAGATGGCTTTTTTTACCCCTAATACTACTATATGTTGAATACTCCTTCAGAATTCATGTAGGATGTTACAGCTTTCTCTAACTACTTAGAAAGCTTATTCTGAAAAGGAGTAATTATAGCACATACATATATCAGTTTTCTCACTAGCCTGACTCTTTCTAGTGCTAGGTGGTATTTGATGTGCTGAGGTTTTACATACCGTGCAAACTAGCAGAGTATATCCAAACTTTGATACTATTTATATTTGACCTTTATATTGCTTGTTACATGGTTTTGTAAAAGCCTCTAACTTAACTATGTTGATCTAATGGATTTTCCGTTCAGTTACTGTAAGGATGAGTAACTGTTACTTTATGATCATCTGTGTAAGTTCCACAAATATGCTTCTCCCTTTTTTTTTTCCTTGTTTCTTTATGCAGTCTATGGAAAACTATTTAGGATTCTTTTTTCCTCTAAAATATGAATTACCCAAAATAAAATTGTTGAGACGTGGCTATGGAAATGTGTTGTGTCTGGATTGTAGCTGCTTATTATCAGTATTTCTTCTGGAACAAACTGGGAAAGGAAAGCTGACTTGAAAGAAATTCTGTTTACCATTCTGAAAATATCTTTTCTGTCTCTTAATTCAGGAACAGCCTATGTTGTTTATGAGTTGCTCACCATTTCAATGCCCAAGAAGCAGAAATGATTTCAGTTCAAGATATCTCAGTGACTAGCATCTCTTCGTCCAATTCCATGTGACTATGATGGCAGCTTATACTTCCTATAAGCAGCTGGCTTAATGCTTGGAATCATAATTTAATTGTAACATGTTAACTGCAATCAATAAAGCAGTTTTTACGTTGCATTGTTGTGGTCTGGACTGTATCATGTGCTGCCCATTAGTGTGCTTTTTACTTCCAGTAAATGTACATTGATTTGATCGATACGCAGATCTCTGAATTGTGAGCCTCTTTTCTTTGTATGTGGTTTATGTACTTTGAAGGTGAGTTAAATGCCCTGAATCCTTAGGAGAAAGCGATACTTTGTCTTTAGTATAGGAATTTCCTCTTCTTGCTTTAGTGGAGCAAATTAATCGTATAATAAATGATTAGGATTGGATTAAACCTGTGTGAAAATGAATGTTGAGAACTTTATTATGCTGTGTCTTTGCTGTCAACTGCTGGAAATCAGCTGTAATACATCTAGGAACAGAGGAATCGGATTCCTGATCACCATCCAAAGGTGGCAGTTTTTACTATGTAGAGGTGATAACACTGTCATCTGCAGCTTCAGGGGCTTAGAAGTAGTCTCGACTGAACTTAGCACCTTCATCTAATAGATTTAATTTTTTTTCAGTGGCTTTTCTCTGCTACAGTTTAATGGAACATAATATTTCCTGAAAAGAATGAAGATTTCTAAGCATGCATATATGATTAGGAAGTGACTGTGTATTTGTCTTGCTGCCTGTGAAATCAAGATATGTCGATCATAATTAAGACTTGGTCTCATTGCCTCATGTTTCAGGTGACCAAAGCCAGCTTGTTCTCAGTTATTGGGGTAAGTAAAGCAATCAGCTTTTTAGCATAAAATAAGAAAAAAAGTTTATTAGAGAATTTGAGGATGTTCTAGAGCAAATAGTAAAGTGGAGGAGGAGTACAGTAAGTGTTAATACTAACTGTGCTAGTGCAGTGTTAGAATTTCTCTACTGATTGATAAGGTTTACAGTGACTGTTAATTGGATACTCTGGCAGTTGAGTGCTAATTTGATCTAGGTTATTAAGCCAGAAAAACTGAAGGTATTGAAGGCAGTGCTTACAAATCTTCAAGTTCTTATTAATAATTTTTGACAGTTTTTAATAGTCTTTTGGAAGAATTTCTCCAGAGCTCTGTAACTTGGAGGATAGGCTTAAGAGAGACTGCCTTCTGTCTCCACGAATTGTACTCTGCTGTAGTCTGAGAACAGAACTGCCCCATGTCTGTAGGGTAGGAGCAGATCTAGTTGGTAAATACACACCAGGTTAAGTGGGTTATGTTTGAAACAACTGTAGCATAATTTGAGTTGGGAGGGACCTCTGAAGGTCAATTGGTCCCATCTGCTGAGAGTGGTGCCGCTTCAGAGCTACACTGGTTTGCCCAGGGCCTTGAACACTCAGGGAGTATCTCCAAGGATGGAGGTTCTACAGCTTTCTTCAAGCTGTTCCAGGGTTTTGCTGTTCTTTCTCTGAAGAGTCTTTCCTCTTCTGGGATACGGGAATGCACGTGTTTAAAGGCTGGTTGTTGGCATTACTGTAAAAACTCTAAAGGAAACTGCAACTGCACTTGACTACTTAACATTTAGACGACCACAAATTTTACGAACTTAAAGGGGAAAGCAGGTATGTTTTGATGTCTTATGTTAAGACCTCTCGTAAAATATCAGGCAAAAGCTGTAGGCATGGCTGAGTCAGGTTGCTGCTACACCTTTGTGTCAGGGTGTCAGTAGCTTCTGCTTCTAAAGCTCAGTCAACACTGATTTCTGGGAGAGCTGTTGGCTCTGCTCCTATGTGATTTCTACTGGATCACTCCAAACCTTCTGGCAGAAATTTGAACTATCTGCCTTAAGCTAGGTTTTGTGCCTTACCAATAACGTGGTTGAGGAGTGCCCACCTGCTGTGTTTCACCAGCAGGACTGTATGACAGCTCTCTCCGTATGTAGAGGCACAGCAAATGGCTGATAAACTTAATGGTTTGATGATGAGCCTTTCTGAAGTCCTTTTTCAGTGGCTGAGGTGGCATTTATCAACTTGCTCTGACACAACCACAAATGCAACTGGAGATCCATCATTGTCTTGGGGGGAGAAAAATATGATTGTGGTTTAGAATTGGGCAGGGACACCCAGTAATAACCATCAGCTGCTATCATGTAATTAGGAACAAGCCTTACAGCCAAAGTAGCTAGTGCTGTCAGTGAAAATGCCTGCTCTATGAAAACTGCTTCTAGGAAGCATCTTTAAGTTCGTGAGTATGAGAACCGTCTCTAGTCTACCCTGATGCCTCTTACTAGCTTCACTGTGGCAATTACTGGGGTCTTCTCATCTCTAGGAACCAGTGTTAGCTGTGCATCCCTAGTTAGGTTTTATGTTTCTAGCACAATTTGTGCCTCTCTAGCCTTTCTGCGAAGTAGCTATGTGTGGGTTATGCTGAAAGTCTGGTGTTGACTCTAACAAATAGAGCTTCTAAAAAACAAAAAACCCCAACCAAACAACAACAAAAAACCCCAAAACCCACCCACAACAACACAACCTCCACAAAATAATCCTTTTGTTTCTCCTCTCAGGGAAACAGTGGATTTTCCAAAATGTGAAAACAAGCACAAAAATCTAGCTTCCAACAACATAACTATTTTAAGCCTCTTCTGGGTTAAGTTTGTTTAGAATTTTTCATTGCTATCCTGGAGAACCAGAGTGTGCTTGTTAAACTTGAGGCAAACTGGAAGAGAAGGGCCAGTGTACTTGGAACTCTCTAGTAAAACTAAAAATCTTAAGAAAGGAGAGTGGGGAAATACCTCCTGCTGGTAGTCTCTCTCTATAGGTGGGTTTGGCCAGCTGCCAGACTAAAAGAGTAAGAACTGCCTTGATGGATGTCTCAGAAGAAGGTTTGGGAAATGGGGTACAGCTTATCTTGAGATGGACGTTGATGCCTACGAGGAAGAGAAACCTCACAGCACAGTGAACTATACTTCACGGCGTGTGAAGGAATCATTCTGCTCTCTGCACTGGTAAGGCTGCTGCTGCTACGGCGTGCCCAGGGTTACTACCAAGGTGTGGACTGAGTTGTGGGCATCTGGAAGGCAGCATAAGAAATAATCAAAATCTTTAAAAAGCGCATACCTTTTCTCACCCACAGGAATTACAAAGATTATTGAAAGAAGGACAATTGTTTAAATAGTCTAAAATGTAAAAATCCTGTGATGAGCTAGTTGGTAAATGTGTGTTTCTGTGATGACTGTAGTGGACCGTGCAGCCGTTTTCGCAATCAGCCGCATCTCAGAGTCCGCTGTCTCAGGAACAGCAGCAGCAGCGTGAGATGTGCTGCAGGCAGCAGCCCCAGCGGGAGGGTGCATGGGATAAACGCAAGCTAGGAAAAAGTTCTTCGCACTTATAGTGAGCAGTATTTATAGACGGAGCCTTGTAATGTTATTTAAATGAAGCTACTGACAACAAAAAATTTGTTCTGGCGGAGGTGGCCCCAAAATGTGTCCCTGGAGCCTGCATTTGGCGGCAGGCGGGAGAGTGGTTGGCATTGCCAGGGCTGCGCTGTGCTGCTGCCGCCGAGCGCTCACGGGGTGGCGTATGCAAGCCGTGCGTCTGCCAGCGCTTCTGGACTTTGTTTCTGCTGCTGGAGCATAAAACGAAACAAGACCCACGGTCAGCTGCTCAGCACCATTTTCTGGGATCGCATTATAAAGCTAATGGAAATTCCCATCCCCTGTTCATTCTATACGTGTAATTTGTTGCAGGCATGTCCGCATCACAAGCTGTCGGAAGATGTAAAGTAGGTGCCTATACTGTCTTTCCAAAAAGAGACCTATACATTGTCACAAGGGCTAAAATTAATGGAAAGTTTTCAGAAATATCTGAAGACCTTATCTCCAATGTCCCCATGGGTATTTTATGAGTAGAAGAAATTAAAATAAGCAACTTCTGTTACTCCTTGTTAATGTGAGAAGTTATAAATTTTAAAAAAGAAAATATGAAATCTTAGTTTGCTGGCAGTTGATGTACTCCAATTATGTGCTTTTCTTGTGTGATTCTGCTGCCACCCTAAAATCAATATTTTTGGGGGTTAAGTATTATATTGATGTAAATATTACTACCTTACTGCATTCCTATTTTTGATTTGTGTTTAGGCAATAGACATAGTATCTTTTCCAAAAAGATATTTTATGTTCATGTAAACTTTATATGAACCTGAAATAGAAAATAAACTTTATTTTTCCGTTATCGTCATTAGAAATGTTAGCTATAATTTTTTTATATTTTGCTTTCAAGGATGGGAAAGCCTCTCAGTGCTGAGGACATGGGAACACTGTCCCATGTGTCATGCTTCCACTGAGCTGGATTGTTTGGAATGTCATCCCAAAAATACGGAGGACATTTTCTGCTAGATGGGCAATGACTACTCCATCTCTTCCGCTTCCCTTGCCACTTTATTTTTCATTATTTAACCTTTTAAGCTTATAAGCTTTCAAGGTTAAGAAAGCAAGCTTATTAGTGGGCCAGCTTTGGCAGAATGAAAAAAATTGTTCATGCCACTGTAAGAGAAGTGACTATTCAAATAATAATCAGACAGATGAAACAGAGGAAAATGGAAAGCTAAGTATTGCAGTTCTAGGTTACACAATTCTTTCTGAGACTGCAGATGTACAGACCATGTTTTACCTTCTCCATTGGGAAAGTAGCTCAGAACTATCTACTCTTAGAACTGTGCCCTGGGCTACATTTTCTTGGCTGGTGAATGCGTGACTAGATCTAATTAGCCTGACACAAACAAAAACTTCCCCAGTGAAAGTCTGAGGGCTAATAATATACAATATCACAGCATCGGCTTCCTGAAAGAGAAGATGAAAGAAGTCCAGAAACCCTCAGAGGTAAAAAGGAAGCACCAGAGATATCTCTACCTGTATGATCTTATCTGTACTTTTTTTTTCCTTTTCCCAAATACCAGAGTAAAAAATACCACTTTTCTGATGTTGCTCACCTTGGCTATTGCTGCTTTGAACTGTGAGAAAGCATGCTGAAATTTTTTTGGCATCTTTCCTACAAAGCTGTCCTTCCTTACTCTCCCATTCTTTCCCAATTTTGTTACATATCAAAGAGCTGGAGGTT